GATATTAGGGTTGCAAAAATGTGGAAAATTTCCAGTAAATTTCGGAAATATTCCAGAAATTTTGGAAACTTTCCAGGATTTTTTTGGAATATTCCAGGGATTTTTTGGAAAGTTTCCGGAAATTTACCGGAACTTTTCCATCCCTTTGCAACCCTATTAAATATAAACTCGCAATTCTGACTTTATAACACGCAATTGAGACTTTATATCGTTCTGTCTTTATAAATTGCAATTACGAGCTTATATCTTGCAATTCTGTGAAAAGGGTCAGTATTGCGAGTTTATATCAGGCGATTTGAAGAAAAAGAATAGCGAGAAAAATAAAAGTCGCAATTACCTTTTTTTTTTATATTCAGTGGCAGAAGCAGGCTTCCTTAGCTGTCTTTGGATTTCTAGTAACAAAATATTGGCTAAAGGTAAATTGGGTTAAAACATGTTTACATGGCACGTGTACGGTGACGCATTGCTGCCACACACATATTATTTTTTCCACATTATGTTGAAATAACGAGATGTTATGTCGTTAAAACAAGATCTTTTTCTCGTCAAAACTACATCTTTTCTTGTAATAACAAGATGTTATGCCGTTAAAATTATATATTTTTCTTGTTAAAACGACACACATTTTCTCATAATAATGGCATATTATGTCACAAAAACAATGTTTTTTTTCCGTCATAGAAGATGTGTTACATTATGTGAGCGAGGTGATTGTCCGCGCTGCTGTCGCCACAGTCCTGAGATAAACGAGGATCTGCACGCTCCTAAAGTTACACTGTTTTAAATGTATTTTAATATTATTGTTTTTAGTGGCATTATTAGGATTAATCTCCAATCTGTCTACAATATAATGCTATCCAGTAATTGCAATCAGACCCAGAGGATATGACTCGTTTAAGATGATCAGATCAAACCTGGTCTTGGAATATTACGAGAAAAGATGTTGTTTTAACGAGATAATTATGCCATAACATCTCGGTATTACGACATAATTGAGTGGAAAAAATATATTCAACTGTTAATCATCTTCAAACATTTAAAGCAGGCAGGGTTAACCTTACAGTAGTGCTCAACACTCATTACTGTCAGACGTTCTTCATCACTTCAATTAAGATTATAATGGTTTAAAAACAGTTAATCTTAAAAAATAAGGCATATAGATAAACTCAAATAGGAAATCAAAAGAGTTATTGTCCTATTCTGTGTCCTAAACTCCTGAAACATCGGTGTATTTTAGAGCAGGCAGTGCAATTTGGGAAATAAATTGATTAAATCTGTATGTGTGTGTGTGTGTGTAAGTGTGTCTCTCTGTGTGTGTGTGTGTGTGTGTGTGTGTGTAAGTGTGTGTGTGTGTGTGTATATGTGTGTGTGTGTTTGTGTGTGAGAGTGTGTGTGTGTGTGTGTGTGTGTGTGTGTGTGAATATATGTGTGTGTGTGTGTGTGTGTGTGTGTGTGTGTATATGTGTGTGTGTGTTTGTGTGTGAGAGTGTGTGTGTGTGTGTGTGTGTGTGTGTGTGTGAATATATGTGTGTGTGTGTGTGTGTGTGTGTGTGTGTGTATATGTGTGTGTGTGTTTGTGTGTGAGAGTGTGTGTGTGTGTGTGTGTGTGTGTGTGTGTGAATATATGTGTGTGTGTGTGTGTGTGTGTGTGTGTGTGTATATGTGTGTGTGTGTTTGTGTGTGAGAGTGTGTGTGTGTGTGTGTGTGTGTGTGTGTGTGAATATATGTGTGTGTGTGTGTGTGTGTGTGTGTGTGTGTATATGTGTGTGTGTGTTTGTGTGTGAGAGTGTGTGTGTGTGTGTGTGTGTGTGTGTGTGTGAATATATGTGTGTGTGTGTGTGTGTGTGTGTGTGTGTGTATATGTGTGTGTGTGTTTGTGTGTGAGAGTGTGTGTGTGTGTGTGTGTGTGTGTGTGTGTGAATATATGTGTGTGTGTGTGTGTGTGTGTGTGTGTGTGTAATGGTATTCACCAAATGTCCCCACAAGGCTAGTAATACCAGTAAATTTTGACCTTGTGGGGTAGGTCCCCATTGCAAAACTTTTTTTCTCGCAATACTTTATTTTCTTTTGCAATTATTTTTGTTTGCAAAAACACATTTATTTTTTCTCAATACTTTTATTTTCGTAAGCAAAACTTTATTTTCTTTTGCAAAACTTTATTATTTTGCATATATATGTGGCATTATATTGACTCCATAGTTGTCTATTGAAGCCTGTTTCCACCACTGACTTTTTATCTCACAATTCTTTTTTTCTCAGAATTGCGAGATATAAACTCACAATTGCGAATTATAATGTCAGAATCGCGGGATACAATGTTAGAATTATTAGATATTAGGGTTGCAAAAATGTGGAAAATTTCCAGTAAATTTCGGAAATATTCCAGAAATTTTGGAAACTTTCCAGGATTTTTTTGGAATATTCCAGGGATTTTTTGGAAAGTTTCCGGAAATTTACCGGAACTTTTCCATCCCTTTGCAACCCTATTAAATATAAACTCGCAATTCTGACTTTATAACACGCAATTGAGACTTTATATCGTTCTGTCTTTATAAATTGCAATTACGAGCTTATATCTTGCAATTCTGTGAAAAGGGTCAGTATTGCGAGTTTATATCAGGCGATTTGAAGAAAAAGAATAGCGAGAAAAATAAAAGTCGCAATTACCTTTTTTTTTTATATTCAGTGGCAGAAGCAGGCTTCCTTAGCTGTCTTTGGATTTCTAGTAACAAAATATTGGCTAAAGGTAAATTGGGTTAAAACATGTTTACATGGCACGTGTACGGTGACGCATTGCTGCCACACACATATTATTTTTTCCACATTATGTTGAAATAACGAGATGTTATGTCGTTAAAACAAGATCTTTTTCTCGTCAAAACTACATCTTTTCTTGTAATAACAAGATGTTATGCCGTTAAAATTATATATTTTTCTTGTTAAAACGACACACATTTTCTCATAATAATGGCATATTATGTCACAAAAACAATGTTTTTTTTCCGTCATAGAAGATGTGTTACATTATGTGAGCGAGGTGATTGTCCGCGCTGCTGTCGCCACAGTCCTGAGATAAACGAGGATCTGCACGCTCCTAAAGTTACACTGTTTTAAATGTATTTTAATATTATTGTTTTTAGTGGCATTATTAGGATTAATCTCCAATCTGTCTACAATATAATGCTATCCAGTAATTGCAATCAGACCCAGAGGATATGACTCGTTTAAGATGATCAGATCAAACCTGGTCTTGGAATATTACGAGAAAAGATGTTGTTTTAACGAGATAATTATGCCATAACATCTCGGTATTACGACATAATTGAGTGGAAAAAATATATTCAACTGTTAATCATCTTCAAACATTTAAAGCAGGCAGGGTTAACCTTACAGTAGTGCTCAACACTCATTACTGTCAGACGTTCTTCATCACTTCAATTAAGATTATAATGGTTTAAAAACAGTTAATCTTAAAAAATAAGGCATATAGATAAACTCAAATAGGAAATCAAAAGAGTTATTGTCCTATTCTGTGTCCTAAACTCCTGAAACATCGGTGTATTTTAGAGCAGGCAGTGCAATTTGGGAAATAAATTGATTAAATCTGTATGTGTGTGTGTGTGTGTAAGTGTGTCTCTCTGTGTGTGTGTGTGTGTGTGTGTGTGTGTAAGTGTGTCTGTGTGTGTATATATGTGTGTGTGTGTAAGTGTGACAGTGTGTGTGTGTGTGTGTGTTTGTTTGTGTGTGTGTGTGTGTGTGTGTGTGTATATGTGTGTGTGTGTGTAAGTGTGACAGTGTGTGTGTTTGTGTGTGTGTGTTTGTTTGTGTGTGTGTGTGTGTGTGTGTGTGTGGTGTACGCGTTTTTGTGACAAAAGAGGACATAAATGTGTATAATGACAAAGGTATGACAGGTATTGCAAGGAGAAGGTGACTTTTCAGGACATTACCCCATGTCCCCACTTTTCAAAACGCTTATAAATCACACAGAATGGAGTGTATTGAAAATCTGAAATAGCAGAAAGTCTCCTGTGAGTGGTAGGTTTAGGGGTAGGGTTGGTGTAGGGCAATAGAATATACGGTCTGTACAGTATAGTGTGCACAGTGTGTGTGTGTGTGTGTGTGTGTGTGTGTGTGTGAATATATGTGTGTGTGTGTGTGTGTGTGTGTGTGTGTGTAATGGTATTCACCAAATGTCCCCACAAGGCTAGTAATACCAGTAAATTTTGACCTTGTGGGGACATTTTTTAGGTCCCCATGAGGAAACAAACAAAAAAGTGTTTTGAATACCTGTAGTTTTGTGTGAGGGGTAGGTTTAGGGTAAGGGGATAGAAAATACAGTTTGTACAGTAGGAAAACCATTTGGCCTATGGAATGTCCCCATAAAACATGGAAACCTGTGTCTGTGTGTGTTTGTGTGAAAATATTCAGATGTAACCCCATTTTAAATACACATTATTTCTCAATAACTGTAAACGGATTACAGTTACATTTATTTTGTAATTAAATTACGTAATTCCGTTACATGTAACTAGTTACTCCCCAACACTGTATTTAAGTGCACAGTTGCCTAATGCAAACTGTGATTAAGACACATTCTGTGGGCATATTTGCGGGTGTTAGAGGGATAGTTCACCCAAAAATGTAAATTCTGTCATCATTTACTCACTCTCATGTTGTATGACTTTCTTCTGTGGAACATAAAAAAAGCTATTTTGAGAAATGTCTGTGTTTTAGTTTTGATTGTCCACAGAGTGGAAGTTAAATTAGATTCTTGTGTGAACTAGCCCTGTAAAACAACATAGACGCTACATAGTGCAAATAAACACTAACAACAAGCTTGTAAATAAAAAGACACACTTTCTTGTCTTCTGGAAGTTGAATGACTCCAAATAGAATAAAGAATTATAAAACACATCGCATCATCTTGAAGCCCTGCTTTTTTATTTAGACTGTCTGAATGTGTTTCTAAATCAAACTCGCCCCTTTTATTTCGCCGACAGATCGCCCAGGTTTGACGAGCGTAGAGCGGATAGAGCGCTGTCAGGAGGAGTTCCTCTTGGCCTTCGAACATTACATCAACTACCGCAAGCACAAGGTGGCTCACTTCTGGCCCAAGCTGCTGATGAAGGTGACAGACCTGCGCATGATCGGTGCCTGCCATGCCAGCCGCTTCCTGCACATGAAGGTGGAGTGTCCCACGGAGCTCTTTCCGCCCCTCTTTCTGGAAGTGTTCGAAGACTGACAGCCAACCGATCAGGCCAAGCTGCTCCCACCAACACGACCTCCACAGATCCGACCTCCCTTCAGACTCTGTTCCCAGTCACATGGCTCTGTTCCCGGTCACATGGCTCTGTTCCCGGTCACATGGCTCTGTTCCCGGTCACATGACTCTGTTCCCGGTCACATGACTCTGTTCTAGCACTACTGAGCGTCAGTTCATTCCATAGTTTTAGGAGTAGCTCTCTGGCCTATTTTGAATGGAACCATTCCTTTTACAAAGCGGGTACATGTGAATAGCGTTTCAATTGTTTTTTCACTCTTTGTAAAAAGAAAAATCACCTTTCTGTTACTAGTTTTTTTTTCCTCCAATGTTAAATAGTTTTATTTCTGATCATAGTCTTTGATGTCGCTTAATGGAGATGTTTGAACTATGCATTCGGGTTTCATGTCACACGTCAGGCCTCAGAAAAGAGACCGCACTGCAAAGAAGGATAGCAATATTTGGTTTGCTTTCACGTCCCTTATCTGTTGGTCTAATGGTATTTCATGCTCACATTAAGCCATAGATTGTTTATAGTTCTGGTCCAAACCCCAATGAGCTGACTACCTAGACAACATTTCAATCCTTACATTGAGACTGTAAAAAAGCAAAATCACGGATGAGGGCTCTTTCATAGCTCAATTGTTCACTTAATGCAAAGCCAATACTGACATTTGGTGACCTTAAATGTTCCTGTTGCTCTTGAGAGCGAGATTACAGTAATATTACATTTCATCTGCCTCACGGTCTGCTGAAATTGGTGAAAAATACAAAATTCATTGAACTTAAATATGAACTCATCAAATCCTACCAGTACCAAATGATCTGAGCTGCTATCCACATTCATTTTATCTTGTGCATCTCTTGTTTTCTCTGACATTTTAGGAGAGAAAAAAAATGTAGAAACCACTGAAAATTCCAAAAAACAACTTCAGAGCAAAAAAAAAAAAAACGGTCATGTGGAGAGTACAGTAGGCATAAAATAACACTGCTTTCTAATGTCAGGTATACACTATATGATTTTCAAAGGTGTCAGATCCTTGTTCCTTTCACGCTACATGGCTTTTTTTGAAATTGCTACGTAATATTTAAAAAATCGCGAGAAGTGACAAGGGAATGACGCAAGACTACGACTCCTCCCCTTGAAATTTCCCATGCCCTGAATCGTGCTCTCTCATTGGCTGTAGGTCGTCGTGATGTCATTTCCAGTCAAAACACATTTTCACCCTGCAAGACTCTGAGGCACAGACAGCTCCAGAAGTTTGGACAATCCCAAATGTTTGATAAATTGGCGCTTCTCTCAGATCGTGTCTTTGATAGTGTGCACCGATTTGCCTCACATTTCAGGCTTTTGTGAAAGTCGGGCGTAAAATCGTGTCGCGTATACCTGGCATAAGATGCCATTCTAAGGCAGCATTGCATGTGTGATACATGCTTTATTGTCTATTGCCTATATATGCTATTTTCAAAGCAGCTCAGGGTTTTGAAATAAATAAAAAAATTTGGGTAAAAAAAAAATTCTGAAAAGGTCAGAATTGATGGTGGTTGTGCCCTTGAGTAAAATCCTGTTTCTTTGTTAGTGCACCTGAAAGCTTACTGGACAGGCAGACCTTCATGATCCTGAAGTCAGGGATTAAAGTGTTCCGTCGCTACGACGGATTTCCGTCAGTTCATAAAGACAGTCACTTGCTTCATTCCTGAATGATTCAGCCATTCGAATAAATCAATTGAATGAATGACTCAGTGATAAAAACATTGACTTGCTGCCACCTGCTGGCGGATTTAGTTTCATTTTTAGCGTATAATTTCAGTTATTTAAATCATATTTCTGTATTCAAAATGTTATGTTTTAAACATTAATCCCCACATGAATTTATTAATTTAATTGCACTCATGCTACCTCTGAGCCTCATTAAACGTCTGAAAATGTACCTACAAGCCACTGTTGTGTTCTTCTGTGCCACCTCTGTAGTACAAATTAATTTATTAATACTAATTTCATATGATTGGTAACTTATTACTTAACTTATTTGTCTTATTCTACTTATTGTTTTAAATAGAAATTTTGAAAAGCTTATAAACATAATTTTTTTTAATTTGACATGAAAATGATGACATTACAAAGGTAAAAAGGAATAGAGAAATATTAAATGATTTAAATAACTGAAATTATACACTAAAAATGAAACTAAATCCGCCAGCAGGTGGCGGCAAGTCACTGATTTTATCACTGAGTCATTCATTCAATTGATTTGTTTGAATGGCTGAATCATTCAGGTATGAAGCGAACACTTTAATCCCTATGAAGTTAAAGTTCACATAAAGAGGAAATTCCAAGTTATACACAACAGGTTTTTCGGTGATCTCAAATGTTGGTCTCCCTAAACTTGCCCCTTTAGCCAGCAGCCACTGACGTTAGCTCATTATGCCTCTATTAAGGTGCCAAAAAACTCCCTCTGTTTGGACTTGTGTTGAGCTGCTCATAGGAACTTGAGGTCATGATTTTATAGCCAGCCATCACTAGATCCATTGACCCACAGGGATGGGACTCTGTTCAGCTGAATGCTTCTTCTCTTCTCTAGCTGGCACACGAGAGACCAAGGCAATGCTTCTGCTTGAACTTGTTGGTGCTACGAGTTTGCCGTTATACCTCCGGGAGAGCTGTCTGGGTGATTGACGTGCAAATACACAAAACTCTGCGGTCAGTGGTCAACCCTGCAACATACATGTGTTTATGATTGTTGTTTCAGCCTTTCTCATCTCTGCCCTGGTTTTCTTCTTTTACTGTAGTGTTTTTAATCTTTCTCGAGACATCCTTGTGTGCTGCAAAAGAGTTTGACTCTCACATACCTCTACTGATTATCAGGAACCGCCAGTTGTCCATCTGTTTGTTTGTTTGTTTTCTATTGCTGTTGAAAGATGGACATGAATTCAGATTCACACCTCAAAACGCAGAGCATGTTCAATCAGTGTTTTGTTATAGTGATACCTTTTGTAAGCAATAGAATTGCTCCAGTGGTTTTACATGTTTTGGATTACACATACAAAACGTACACGCCAACGTAGATATTCAACAGACTCAAAGTCATTGCACAGACAATCAATGTGTTCGTAGAGAGTGTTATAAAAAGATGTGGAGGGAAGTAAGGGCCACAGCCAGGGTCCAAAATTAACATTTTGCCACACCTGACAGTGTTTACTCTTCGCTAAGCTCCACGATACCTTAGTTATGGTTGCTTGCAAAACGTCCCATGTGAAAGTGAAATAAATTTGTATTTTTTAATGTGTGCAAAATTTGTTTTACAGCTTTTCCCAAAATTATTTTTGTTGCAAAAAAAATACAATCTGTGACGGATGATTCTTTTGTAGATTTTAGTAATTTGCATGCATTTCATTTTAAATGCTCACATACATATGTGAGATTCAGAATATTGTTTTTACAATTTGATTTACGTAATGCATTATGTTGCGGTGTCTTATGTACTTGAGAAAGGCTTTTTTTTTGCCAAAAGTTAATTTTGGACCCTGGCCACAGATCGACGCATGCATGCACAGACACGCTGGGAGTCAATACTATTTCCTCTGAGCGCACAGGTAAAAAAAAAAAACACTACAAAAATAAAGATATTTATGGTGTAATGGAAAGAGGCTGTATTTTTTTTTTCAGACTGCAGATATTTTTTACATGTTATATGCTCAATATGAACATTTCTGAACAGTTTTACAGCAAGGAAACAAAAGACTCTTTTCTCGAAAATCTCAACAGAAACCAGAGTCCTGTTTTTGAACAAACTCTCTTTAATGAGCTCTCCTTAGTGTGTGTTTCATCATTCCAAATTCATTGTTTAACTATGTTAATGACAGCTAATATATACTATCTATTAATAATCATAATTAAAAAAAAAGTGATGCTTATTGGATGGCAGATTAAAACCTAAAGCCCATATTCGGAGAAACTGAGCAGATCTCAGCAGGCTGTAAGAAATGCATCCTCAGAAACAACTACAGCACACTTCTGTTTTTGTTTCTGTACTTCTGTTTCTGTCTTCGTTAACATTTACCTGATCACGCCCACAGTATGCTGGTGGCATAAGTACACTTTGAATGTGAATCAGTTATCCAGCATTACAAGAAAATGTCATTTACTTTCTCTTTTTTTTTTTTTTTTTTTTTTTTTTTTTTTTTTTTTTTTTACCAAATTGAACGTATTGCACAAGCTTGCTGTGTGACAGTAGAGCCTTGAATTTGAGTTTGGATCATGATGTGATTTGGATATTCTGGAAGTGACATTGCACTAGAAAATAATCCTGGATTTGGCAGATGATGATGATGATGATGATGATGATGACTTTTGCACCTAAGGTGAATAGGAGAATAAAGATGGTTTTGAGAAACCCCTGAAATATTCGTTGTTCTGTGTGTAGTACATGAATAATGTGAGATTCTGTATGCATTGTTATGGCCTATAATTAATTAAATTGATATATATATTTAGCGGTTTTTATTGATTTTAATAAATGTGAGTTTCATTTATAATGTCAAATTTTACATTACAATATTTTGCATGAAAAGCCTATCCAGTTGCACTCTCGGATATCTTAACTTGACCTTCTGTGAATGCACCGATGAAAACAGTTTCATCAGAATGTGATTGGTCACAGCCATCTGAAAAGACACATGACCAGACCACAACACTGTCTTTAATCACAACCAAAATGTTTTAATAAAAGCAACCCATTGCTGAAGATGAAACTCTATAAATAACTATATTTAAATGTCAAATTACTATATATAACATTAGCTGCTGCAAAATTTCAGGAAAAAGGTCTCAGAATTTCACATAAACATTTGATATGTCCAGAGCCTTTGATATTATGAAACAAATATGTTAAAAGCTTTAAAAAAAATTTTTAAAAAGCTAATTTGTGCATCAAAGTTACTTAAAGGGGTCATATGATGTTGCTAAAAAGAACATTATTTTGTGTATTTGGTGTAATGAAATGTGTTTATGCGGTTTAAGGTTAAAAAACACATTATTTTCCACATACTGTACATTATTGTTTCTCCTGTATGCTCCGCCTTTCTGAAATGCGTCGATTTTTACAAAGCTCATCGGTCTGAAAAGCGAGGTGTGCTGTGATTGGCCAGCTATCCAGTGCGTTGTGATTGGCCGAATACCTGAAGCGTGTGACGGAAAAGTTACGCCCCTCACCATACAGTGATGCCCTGTCCGGCCGGAGCGAAGAGACAAAAACATTAAAACCCATTATAAACGAGGCATTTGTTGCATCCAGTGGGGACAGAATTACGGATTATAATGACTTATACGGTCTTTTTACGCGTTGCATTGCGCCGCGTAAACATAAAACCATGTCTGCATTTGTGATCGGAGAAATGACAAACAAGTGCTACTCTACACTGCCCAAAACTCACGTTTGAATCATCAGTGGCAAATTATTTAAATGTAAAAACGCACTTACAGTCTGTGAGACAGCCAGCATTGTAGTCTACTCTCCCAGAATCAGGAAACAGTCCTCCATAAAATGTGCTGCACACATCTGAATATTTGGGTTGAAGTGTTCTGGAACAGTGTTGTAAATACAACTTAACCACTGATTTCTAGCCGAGTCCTCTTTTGGACGACCAAACAAAGTAGTTTCACTTTCACAACGAAACACAGCGTCTTCACGACATGGTGGCAGCGGCAGCAACAATACTACAGCGAGAATAAAAGTTACGCCTTCTTTCTTTGCGTGAACATTTGGGTGGCGTTATGCAAATCTTCCCACATAGTGATGTAGACATGTGGGGGCGTGTTAGAACGAGCTGTTTTAGGTAGGCGTGGTTAACTCTGAACTTTTATAAAGAATATCTCTTTGGATTTGAGACTTTAGTCTTTGCAACTTTACAGATCTTCTTTATGCACCAAGCGCTTGTAACACTCCAAAGAGAAAGGACAGATTGAAATCGCATCATATGACCACTTTAAATGAAATATCCTCCATCTTTTCATTTCATTAGTCTAGTTGTAAAGTTATGCTTATTTTTTAATATGCAATTGTGTAAAATTTGTACTGTATTTTTTAATGGAAAAAACTTTCTCCATTACTGTGGCACAGTACCCATACTTTATTTCTTGTATTATCCCACTACCCATATTAGTCCTATTTTAACCCCACAGTGCATTGCTGTACATAAGTGAAATTAAATGATGCCATCTACTGGACAATATCACTACACATTTCAAATGAAGCCATTTTCTCTTTACCTTTGAGTGTTTATATACAAAAAAATGTTGTATTGGCGCAATTACCATCGCTTACCTAACAGTTCATCCTGGGTTGTCATGGAAACAGTCCTCTCATCCAGCACTTCTTGCTGCTAGGCTACAGCTGACCAACACACCTGTCGACTGCCCTCATTTTTCCCGTTTCAAACAGAACGCAGAGATCATTTAGATGTAACCTGGAATTAGTTCAATGTGCAGAGGTTCACTAATTCACATGTTCTGGACATGCCCTAAAGTCTACTGACCATCTGTATCTGAGACTCTTTCAACTCCAGCACAGGTTAGAGCAGTTCAATAAAGAGTTGAATAAACAAGAAGTTAATATTGTTACAGTTTAAACTCAATATTGGCTTTTCTTTCACTCAATTTTGTCAACAAATCCACAGCACAACCTCTGTGCGTCTCAACACGTGGTGGTGTTTCGGTGAATGAATGAATTTGTGGTTCTGAACAAAACAGTTGAGTCAATGATTCAATTCATTATTCATAAAGACAGTCACTTGATTCGTTACTGAATGAATCAGCCGTTTGAATGACTAAATTCAAAATAGCATACTATCATGCTATTATTATTATTTCGGCCACTTAAAGATGTGAAAGAAATAGTAAAGGCAGTATGCAATTTCAAACTTAGCATCAGTGCCTCACTCATTAAGACTTGCTGCAACCTACTGGTGGGTTTAGGGTCATAATCATTTCATTAAAAAAAATAACGTTTGTTTCGATTAAAAAAAACATTAATCTCATAGCATTATTTATGCAATTGTAATTGCAGGGTAAATGCATTCATGTCACCTCTGAGCCTCATTAAACAATCTGTGTATATATACCTAAAACTCTATCATCGAAGAGCGCATCTGGTACATGAAACAGCTACAGCTGAAGAAATAAAATAAAAAAACAGATGTATAACTTGCAAAGCTGATTTTACAACTTTTTAAGTTCAATTTATTAGTAAAGCATTTTAATTGCTACAGAGTGCAGCAAATTGCTGCACATTAAAACCCATCTACCAAAATGTAATTTTTGCTTATTTAACCTCAGTGACAATCAACAGTTCATCATCAAATCATATAACAAATCTAGGCAGGTTTCCTTCCAAATATACATTAAATCCCTTTTAAAGTGCAATGTCTCTATAACTCAAATAAAGTAGCCACAAACATACCTGCCAAATACATGTAAATATGAAGTCTTTATTTGCCTGTATTTCTGGATGTTCGGAGCACAAAAAAGAAAGGGGAAATACTTTTGCTCATCTTCTATGCTTTGCTAGGACAAATGCTTTGCTAGGAGTCTGAGAGTCTCCTGCTATGGATCTTTATCAGAGCGTTTAAGAGTGTGTTAGTGTGAACAGACCCTCAGGCTCTCACCTGCTCTAGTCATTTGCTGGAGAAAAAGCACCAAGACCTCCTTTTCCTCCTCACTGTAACTCAAAACATTGTTACTTTGTTTCTGAGTCTTAAATTATACAAGTGAATTGTTGTCGATGGAGACAATTTTAGATATAATGAGACTGTGGCAGCATTTGGAAATGTTGAAGAACGTAACTATGAATCATCACAAACAGCTCTTCCACAAGCTGAGAAGGGAAATACTAATATATATATAGAAAGGTGCACAGTGTCGTTTACACAAACACTAAACACCATCATGGTGACACACATGATACTGAAATAATGCAGTAAACATTAATTTAACAACCCTAATATACACAACTGATAAGGAAAAACTAAGAAACATAGTTATTTCAACGAAAAAAACAAATTATGAAGTGTCATGCAGGGAATTCTGGGAGAGTCAATTTACTTTTTCTTTTTCACTTTCAAAAACCGTATTTTTAACAGTATTTTACTGTAAAATTACATTAAATGTAATTACAGTTATTCACCGAATATAGTATGGAAACTTACTGATAACCAATTAACAGGTTTTTACTGTAGCATTTTTACAGTCTTTTACTGTTAAAAATCACAAGTTTTTACAGCATATCCATCATTAGTTACAATTTCAAAGAGGCTGGTAGAATTATCAAAGCATGCTTCTATATGGAACCCTATCAAAAAGGTTCTATTTAGCACTCAAAAGGGTTCTGCTATTGTTACAAGCCGAAGAACCATTTTCTGGTACTGTTTAGAACCATTTTTCTTAAGAGTGTACTATCAGAAATCTAATTAGCCCGATTCACAAGATTAATTTATTTCATTTTCATTTGGTTCAGGCCACTGATTCTTTTGAATTTATATGCTCGGCTGTGTGATTTGGCTTTTGCTAGCTCACGTGTTATTAACAGCTATATTCAGCTCCAATTTTTCTGTTACGTTTCGTGCAAATTCAACTCAAAACACAACACAATATTTTATTTGTAGAGTTCAATTCCAGATCTTGTTCTTACGCTCACTCATTATAAGTGATTTGAAATAGTTCACAACGCCCAGTACGGAAGCACAAAAAACCCTCAAAGTGTGAAAAAGGCTAATCTCTCTGCAAAATTATTTTGTACAATTTTCAGTGCTGTATTACCGTAATCTTGGGGCAGGGGTGCCCAATCCTGTTCCTGGAGATCTACCTTCCTGCGAAGTTCAGCTCCAAACCTGATCAGACACAACTGAAGCAGCTCATTAAGATCCTCAGAAGCACAGACAGCTGTGTTTGATCCGGCTTGAGCTGAATTCTGCAGATCTCCAGAAACAGGATTGGCACCCCTGTCTTAAGTTGTCAGTGAATTATACAGTTTGCTTTATGTAAATTAATAAATTCTTGTTAGAAACTATTTAGGTTCTGTGAAAGTGTTATTCAGGCATATTCAGTTCTGCTTCCCACTTTGACACTGTCACAGCTGGTTAGTAAAGTGGCAGAAGTATACAGCCTGCATGCCATATTTGCTCATGGGAAACTGGTACTGTTATACAGCCTACTGAATAATACACTGAACTCAAAAACTAGTGTCTTCTAACAGTGGCTAAGTGCCAAACATAACCAGCTAAATCCTGCCCCCTGTGGCCAATTATCACTGAGATGAGTCCAGAATTTTCTGAAAAGAAGAACAAGAAAGCAATTATTAAAACAATACAAAAATTTATTTGTTCATCACCCTGTAGCCCAAGGCTGGTTGCCCACTGAAGCTAAGCAAGGTTGAGCTGGTCAGTACCTGGACGAGAGACCTCCTGGGACCCCCTGATACGAATGTAAAGCACTTTGGGTGTACAGGTAAATGCCTCATTCGTGCATTCATTCTTTCTCTTTCTTTCTTTCTTTCTTTGTCTCATTTTATTATTGGGATCCAAGCACTGAAGGTGATGGATCCTGGATGTATTTGTACTGATTTTCTTATTGTTTATATTCCTGCCCTAAAAGTGTAAAGGAATAAGAAACCGTAAACTGTTGAGACCCCAAACCTGCCATGATGGACACATCTACATGATACGATTTGCACAGGGATTAAAGTGTTCCGTCGCTAAGACGGATTTCCGTCAGTTCATAAAGAGAGTTATTTGCTTCATTCCTGAATGATTCAGCTGTTCGAACTAATCAACTGAATGAATGACTCAGTGATAAAATCAGTGACTTGCCGCCACCTGCTGGCAGATTTAGTTTCATTTTTAGCGTATAATTTCAGTTATTTAAATCATTTAATATTTTTGTATTCCTTTTTACCTTTGTAATGGCATCATTTTCATCTGTCAAATTCAAAAAAATTGTGTTTGTAAGTTTTTTTTTTAAATTTGTACTACAGAGGTGGCACAGAAGAACACAAATGTGGCTTGTAGGTACATTTTCAGACGTTTAATGAGGCTCAGAGGTAGCACGAGTGCAATTAAATTAATAAATTCATGTGGAGAATAATGTTTTAAATATAACATTTTGAATACAGAAATATGATTTAAATAACTGAAATTATACGCTAAAAATGAAACTAAATCTGCCAGCAGGTGGTAGCAAGTCACCGATTTTATCACTGAGTCATTCATTCAATTGATTCGTTCGAATGGCTGACTCATTCAGGAATGAAGCAAGTGACTCTCTTTATGAACTGATGGAAACATTTTAATCCCTGTTTGCATCTTGGATCATAACTCTTTTCAAGTTCACATATATATAATATATATATATAACACACACAAAGTAAAAATCTGAGTTATAGACATTTAAGAGACAGAGTACTGAATCGAAATCCACAATAAATATCCAACTAGAGAAACTAGAAAAACGTTTTTTTTTTAACTGTGAAGAAGAAAAGGTACGTTTTAAATCGACAGGTGCCAGTCTGATCTCTAAAGACCCAACCACAAAGAAAGCTGGATCCCATCTGAGTTTCAGTCTGAGACAGGGACTATAAGAAGCTTCTGATCTCTCGATCTTAGACTTTAGGGGGAATCTAAGGATGCAGCTAAATAGTGGAGATTAGGTTATGTAGGGGTTTGCACACGAATAAGATCATTTTAAAATGAATCTTAAATTGGATAGGCAGCCAATAGAGAATATGAGTGATGTGTTTGTTTTTACATCTTTTCTGCAGAAATGTTGTGAAAATCAGCCACAAGCTGGCGCTATAAAAGCAAATTAACATTTTTGCTAATTAACATTTAATTCTGAAATCAAAAGAGCAAAATTGGTGTCTTCTGAATCCTTGCTTTAAGCCCCAAGAAGTATTGTATGCAAGTACCTCATTTTTATATCTATGAAACATACCTGCTACAAAGCCCATTATATTCTACTTCATTCGAGTTCTTTCTGCAGATTTCGTTGTGCCTCATTAGTTGTTTATGTAGAGAAATGCATGTTGGCTTTGCATCAAATATTTATGTTGAATTTGATGTGATTAAATGCAGAATACTTGACATCAAATGCCCATACTGTCTTTATATCTGTAACATAACACTGTCAAATGGTAAACACTTTTATAATAAACTGATTAAAATGGTGTGGCACTCCAGAGTACTTCAAAGAACACAATGGTATATTTCTAAGCAATAGTAATGCCATACTTTGTGGTACTTTAATTGTTTTGTGCTTCATTATAAAAAGTCTTTTATAATGTTACAGAAGATTTCTAGTTCAAATAAAAGCTGCTCTTCAAAGAATCCTGAAAGAAAAAAAAAATGTATCACGGTTTCTACAAAAATATCAAGCAGCAAAAACACCATTGATAATAATCAGAAATGTTTCTATTAGTGATTTCTGAAGATCATGTGACACTGAAGACTGGAGGAATGATGCTGAAAATACAGCTTTGATCACAAGAATCGATTACATTTTAAATGATATTGTAAAAGAAAAGAGAATTTTAAACTAATAATATTTCACAATATTCTTTTTTACAGTCTACAGGCACCTTGATATCAATTTGACATCAACTATTAGGTGATTAGGTGAAAACAGGAAGTGAATCTCACACTGAAATTGGTTTAATGTTTATGTAGGCCATTCAGTTTACATCAAATCAGTGTCATTTGCATATCTGACCTGTTTCTGATCCATTCTGATGTCTTTTCATCATCACTTGCCCACTGGGATGCAGCCCTGGTGAGCATAAGAGTCTTCTTTTCAAAAACAAACAAGAATCCTAAAGATTCCGACCTTTTTGTCCTTTTGACTTCGATGCTTCTGTCTATACATTCGCACTTGTGACACATGGATGCAAAAATGACTAAACGCATGGAAAAAATGAGTTCAGCATTTATCGGTTTATTTTCTTATTTTATATGTACTGAATTATATTTATATACATACATATAATATAGAAATCTAGCTATCTTACAATGCTTTCACAGAGGAAAAGTGACAGACTGGATCATGGCAACACAACAATGACGCTGAGTGAGCCACAGGCCGAACAATGAGTCAGGAACAGCAAACACCAAACAGAACTCAAGATACTTCTTTGCTTGACTATCCATCTACAGCAGCTTCGAGATCAAAACCGACCCCAGAAGAGTTCAGATGCCCAGAGCTGGCAGGGTGATGATGAGAGGCATTGCCAGTGGTACGTTTTGGGCCATTTCCTGTTTCCTCTTCCTGTCTGGTCCAACGGTGCTCGAGTATGCACACTATTTGTTTGCTGCAGCACAGACACAATAATTCTACAAGAACTTCCACTGAACAGACTTGCCCAGAAAGAACAATAAAATATTGAAAAAAGAGAAATGAACAGAATTACAATTATTTGATGGGGAGTGTTTCCTCCCAAAACCATCAGTCGAAAAATCATAAATATTCAGCCTGAAATGATCACCCATACAGATGCATCAAACCGGCAGGTGTCAGCTATACAGACATTATGACGTCACTGTGGATGGCTTTGTGTCCCATCAGTACCGGGGAGGAGCATGCACAATGCTTACAGTGATAAAACACGTATGATCTACTCCTCCTTTAGTCATTTAGCATCATCATCACACATCACTGAAAGCCCTACGAATCAGGACATATACACAGATGCACCATTACGCAGATCTAAAACCAGAAACATACTCTATGCAAGAACACAAATTTGGCCAAGCCTGACTGAGTATTGGCAGAAACAAACACTCAAGCGGGCAACAGTCAACTTCAAATGTCTGTGCCAATAAGCCAAATGCGTCACTAGTCAGGTAGCTAGATATAAATGTGTGGGCAGCTGAACTAACTCCAACTTGCTCAGCAAGATTCTCTTCAAACTCTTGCTCCATCACGGCAGTAGCTGACCTGGAAGAGAAAACTGACTGTAAAGGACAGTTTGTCTGCATGCCACTTGTATTTGGACCACAACCATCCACAAAACTGAGCTTGTGTAGCAAGAGGCTTTTGCGTTCACATGCTTACATAACGTTTGAGGCCTTAAGAGCGGCTTCCTCTGCACTTAACTACAGATTTGAAGACAGAAAACGTACTACAAAAATAGATCTAGTCATTAAACAATCCTGTGTCTTCCTGCCAGAAAGCTCCCCTAAATGACACACGGCATTCATACGTCCTCTTCTCTGAAAGTATTAAAAGACCAACAAGGAACAATCCAAAAACAGTGAACGTGTCACTTATTGCACAGGCAGTATAGATCTAGAATTAATTCAAGGTGCCTCTGCACACACACAAACCGTGTAATCGTACAAACTCTCGTAAGCATCTACAACGAAACCCCTCCAGTTTGTGTCTGCGAGTCGTGTGCGTTAGCACGAGCTGAGGCGTTTTACAGTACGACGAAACCCCCACCCCCCATCCCATCCCATGTTTAACCAGCAGTCCTTTGAATGTCATGGGGAGAAGTGTCAAGAAAGGGGCATTGAGTAACAGCAAGCTCCCCACTGGATAAGTGGGCCGCAGGAACAGGCCTGGAGGCTCTGGAGATGGATGGGAGGGGGGGTGGTGGTGTGGTCCACAGTTATGAGGGTTGATGGGTGCTCAGGGGTGGACCTTGAAGGCCAAGAGCTGCTCAGAGTGCATGTTGTTGAGCGAGCGCAGGTCCGGCAGCTTGAGGAGCAGTTTAGTGAAGATGGCGAGCTCGTTGGGGTGGTTCTTGGTGATCAAGCTGCGCAGCGCTCGAATCAGAGTTTCCTGAAGGGCCTCGACCGAGTTGACGTTCTCGAGACCAGAGCGATCTATTGGAAACACAGCAGGGGAATTCATTTAACACAGTAAGTCACGGCATTCTCGTATGGTCTCATAACATGGCACATGCATGCGCACGGCACAACAGGAAGTAGTTAATACCTGCAGACACCAGCACTACGGCCGTGAAGAGGCTCATCTCCTCCTCACTGAGGTTCAGAGCTTGCAGCTTCTCGGTGAAGTCAAACATTGAGTTGAGGAGATCTCCAGCACCCATCGAGCGCAGTGCCTCCACACTGTACTTCCTGCCGCTCAGAAATGTGACTGTGTGCTCCTTCACATTGAACAGGGATGTAAAGCGCACCACCAGCACCTACAGGCCAAACAGGAAACCAATGGAATTAAACTAGATTCAGTCAGTTCACAGGAGTGATTTCAGTCCGGGTTTTATTTGGACATACCTCAAAGGTGCCGGCCTTCAGCAGGCTGACCTGGTCATGCTGGGACAGGTCTTTGAATCCTGGGATGCGCTTTGCAAATTCCACCACCTCTCTGACGGCTGGGGTGAAGCTCATGGAGAACTCCTCCCAAATACTGTGACCCGACTTCTGAGGATCCATAGGAACATAGGGCGATGTGTTCATGGGGCAAACCTGTGAACGAGAATCGTGAGTATTTCTACAGACCACTGGAATTGTGGTATATTGCTATTTTGGTAGTGTAACTCACCAGGTGCATCCTGTTAACCCTTGCGAATGTTGGGACACTACAGCTGCCATTGACTTGGGTGTCACTGTCGTTATGAGCTCTCAGAGAGAAGTTCTGCAGAGACGGCCCAGCGGGGCTCCTGTAGGGCAGTCTGACAGGACAGCCCGAGTCTTCAGGCCCCTGTGGAGCACCATCTGATGGAGGCTTCTGTTCGCTCTCTGAGGATGCATTGTTCTGCTGGTTCCAGACCTCCTGAGTCTTCTCTGTGCAATGGCTGTAGTTGTTAGGGGCCTCTGAAGGCATGCTGGCCTGCTCCTGATTGTACATGAAGGTCTCCTGGTGCGCTCTAGTCACTGTGCTGATGACCTCCTCCTCCCCGCTGTCAGTGGCACTGGAGGAGTCTGAGCTGGTGCTTGTATCCATGGCGCTCAGCAGCTCGGGGTCAGGGCTGGATTCGGATCGGTGGCTCCTGGGGGAGGTGGAGGGGGAGCGGGAGGAAGGGCCGGAGCCGCTGTGCTCTGAAGCTGCATCGCTGGCAGACGTCTGGTTGCCCAGGGGCTGGCTGCCGTGGCTGTTGTTCATCATGTTGTTCATGGCGTTCTGCATCTCAAGCAGCATGCGCTGCTTCTCTCGTTTGGGAATTCGGCCGAAACGCACAGCTGAGGAGCACAGACATGGTCAGCTCACAGACTTTAACAGACTGACACTTCTGCTGAAACTATCTATCTATATCTATCATCTGTCTGTCTATCTATCTATCATCTGTCTGTCTGTCTGTCTATCTATCATCTGTCTGTCTATCTATCTATCATCTGTTTGTCTGTCTGTCTATCTATCTGTATGTCTATCTGTCTGTCTGTCTATCTATCATGTCTGTCTATCTATCTATCATCTGTCTGTCTATCTATCTATCTATCTATCATCTGTCTGTCTATCTATCATCTGTCTGTCTGTCTATCTATCTATCATCTGTCTGTCTATCTATCTATCTATCATCTGTCTATCTATCTATCTTTCAATCTGTCTGTCTATCTATCTATCTATCATCTGTATGTCTATCTATCTATCCATCATCTGTCTGTCTGACTATTATCTGTCTATCTATCTATCTATCTGTCTATCTATCATCTGTCTGTCTGTCTATCTATCTATCTATCATCTGTCTGTCTGACTATTATCTGTCTGTGTCTGTCTGTCTATCTATCTATCTATCTGTCTGTCTGTCTATCTATCATCTGTCCGTCTATCTATCTATCTATCAATCTGTCTGTCTATCATATGTCTGTCTATCTATCATCTGTCTATCTATCTATCGTCTATCTATCTGTCTGTCGTCTGTCTGTCTATCTATCATCTGTCTGTCTGTCTATCTATCTATCTATCTGTCTGTCTGTCTATCTATCATCTGTCCGTCTATCTATCTATCTATCAATCTGTCTGTCTATCATATGTCTGTCTATCTATCATCTGTCTATCTATCTATCGTCTATCTATCTGTCTGTCGTCTGTCTGTCTATCTATCATCTGTCTGTCTGTCTATCTATCGTCTGTCTATCTATCTATCATCTGTCCGTCTATCTATCTATCTATCAATCTGTCTGTCTATCATATGTCTGTCTATGTATCATCTGTCTATCTATCTATCGTCTATCTATCTGTCTGTCGTCTGTCTGTCTATCTATCTATCATCTGTCTGTCTATCTATCTGTCTGTCTGTCTATCATATGTCTGTCTATCTATCTATCTAGCATCTGTCTGTCTGTCTATCGTCTATTTATCTGTCTGTCGTCTGTCTGTCTATCTATCTATCTATCTATCATCTGTCTATCTATCTATCTATCTGTCTGTCTGTCTATCATCTGTCTATCTATCTATCGTCTATCTATCTATCTGTCTGTCTGTCATCTGTCTGTCTATCTATCTATCTATCTATCGTCTATCTATCTATCTATCTGTCTGTCATCTGTCTGTCTATCTATCTATCTATCTGTCTGTCGTCTGTCTGTCTATCTATCTATCGTCTATCTATCTATCTGTCTATCTATCTGTCTGTCATCTGTCTGTCTATCTATCTATCATCTGGCTCAAATGTTCATGCAAGGTAACCTACTTTTATTTCTTAATTTTTTTTAAGGGCTCATCTATTCAAGTTTAAACGCTGAGGTCACATATGTCGGCCTGTAACTGATTCCATTCTTTGTATCTGGGACACAATGCCAGCTGGAGCTCACCGTCTCTGGACATGCCCACGAGCAGACACTTCTTAAAGCGGCACTGCTGGCATCGGTTCCTGTTGATGCGCGTGATGGGACAGCTTTCGTTCTTAAGGCACTTCTTATACTGAATGTTCTGCTGAATGCTCCTCCTGAAGAAACCCTGCAGGTGCAAAAGTGAAAGAGACAGAGAGCGGTGTCAGGGTCACAGAGCCCACACCGAGAGTAACAGGTGTCGAGCCTCAGGGTCGGTATGGAGAGCAGGTGTCCCGCTCAGGACCGATGACACCCTTCTGTCATGCAGCTTTGCTCTGATGGTTAAACAGGCTTTCTAGGCATAAATAAAGCAAAGTGACATCTCCTTTCAGGACAATGTACAGGCAGATGTGACCACGATAAGGCATGACAGCCGTGTCACACTGACCCCATCTAATTCAACAACAGTGACAGTTTAACAGAGAAACAGACACTATAAATGAGCACAAACCGCCTTTACTGAGTAGTAAGCAAAACCGAACAAACATGAGTTTTTCAGACACCCCTTTCTAAACTTTTGACTTCTCTGTATCTCAGAAACAACTAAATAAAACCCTCTAATTCTTAAAATCATATACTGAAATGTGGCTGACGATTCACACTGACACTTAACGTTTTCTCACCTTACATCCCTCACAGGCATTTCAGACACCCCTTTCTAAACTTTTGACTTCTCTGTATCTCAGAAACAACTAAATAAAACCTCTAATTCTTAAAATCATATACTGAAATGTGGCTGACGATTCACACTGACACTTAACGTTTTCTCACCTTACATCCCTCACAGGCGTGAACGCCGTAGTGAAATCCTGACGCCACATCTCCACACACTTTACATAGCAGCACCAGCCCATTAATCTCTGCAGGAGCGGAAATACAGAGGGTCAGATGAACAAGGAATTCTTTCTGCGCTCCGATTGGCTTTCTCCTTCTGTTTCCTCAAACAGCTAGAAAACCATTACTACAAGATCAAGCTCACAAGGACAAATATAATGAATCTTGCCATGTTAATTGACAAATATCAGCGCATTACATCATTATTATGATTAATGTGACCAATCTACAATACTTTATTTTTTCTATTTCTGTTCCATTTTGAACTCCCTGACATATCAAACTGCATAAAAAAAACAACACAGGGAATGTGAATACATGTACACTAGGGTAAACATGAGAAAGCATATTTTTGACATGCTTATAACATAATAATTAACACTATGACAACAGAAATGTGAACAATGAAACATATATTCATATAGTTCCTTAAAATATTGTTACATTTGTAGATTATCAGTCTTTAAGAACGCTCCACAGATTCCTTTATTTTCATTCAGATTTTCATTCAGTCTCTCACTTGTAATGCCACTTTTGGCTGTGGAGGGCGACCGTGTGTTCCGTGGGCGGGACTGAGGGGCCACAGCGAGGGTTTCGCCCTGTTGGCCCTGGCCCGCGCAGCTGCTGTTGGAGGAGTCGCTGTAGCACGACTCGGGACTGGAGGCCGAGCTCGCGGAGCTAATGTAAGCTATCACTCCACCTGCTGGATGACACACAGAAGAGCAACAAATGTCAAATGACTTTTCAGACTTCATTTTCCAAATCACGTGGACCCTAATATGCGGATATAAATGATGAAGCATATGAGGACGAGACATGGCCTAGAGGTTGATTCCAGCTTTTTCATGCATCTGTTGACAACTCTGTTTATCATAGAAACAAATATATACACAGTAAACGCAAACCATATAGGTATTCCAAACATCATCTATGCCCGTATGTTTTATTTTAAGCTGTAGCCAGTCTTATTGTCAGAAAGTGGACCAGGCTGTAATGTATCTCTCTGTACGGGTTGACCTGATTTCTGCTGCCCCGTTCTCAATGATTAGGTAACACCGTTACATAATACCTCTTTCAGGGTGTAGGACTTACCGGCAAACAATTCAACTCAAATGAAATACTGAGAACTAACAAACATCTTTTTTTCAAACGTTAACATTTGTTAATAATTACAAAGATAAAAAATATAAAATTAAATAAGCACATGCTGATGAGTCAAATAGAAGGAAACTAATATATATATATATATATATATATACAGCTAATGAGGCTCAGGGTGCATAATTTTTCTTCCTTTATCCAAATCCTATTATAAAATTAAATAAATGAATAATGTAAATGAAAGTAAATCCCAATGCCATTTTTCAAAATAGTTTATATTTAATTTTCTTTACAAAGAAAAAAACTGAATGTCATGCCGCTGAGCTGTTGACTGGCGTGTTCTTAGCCCCGCCCCCACGTGTACGCGGCATGTCTTGGGGGCGTGGTTGGATCCACATCTAGGGGTAGAGATGGCTGGGTTTAGGGATCGGGGGGCCGGAGATGGCTGGGTTTAGGGATCGGGGGGCCGGAGATGGCTGGGTTTAGGGATCGGGGGGCCGGAGATGGCTGGGTTTAGGGATCGGGGGGCCGGAGATGGCTGGGTTTAGGGATCGGGGGGCCGGAGATGGCTGGGTTTAGGGATCGGGGGGCCGGAGATGGCTGGGTTTAGGGATCGGGGGGCCGGAGGGGGGCGGGGGGTGGGGGGGGTTTAGGGATCGGGGGCCGGAGATGGCTGGGTTTAGGGATCGGGGCCCGGAGATGGCTGGGTTTAGGGATATGTAATGTGGGAGGAGTTGGATCTGGATCCTACCATGCCCCCTGGATCTTGTGTTCTGCCCTGAGGACCATCTCGGCAGGTGGGTCAGACCGCGCCGCCTCACGTGTAACAGCAGCTGCAGACGCATCCATACCGCCATGCAAATTATGCAACACGCACGTCACGACTTCTCTCGACCAATCAGAGCAGACGCACAGGACGCGTAAACACAGACGCACATGGCTAGGCTGAGCGGTCCGCTGGGTTTAGGGATCGGGGCCGGAGATGGCTGGGTTTAGGGATCGGGGCCGGAGATGGCTGGGTTTAGGGATCGGGGCCGGAGATGGCTGGGTTTAGGGATCGGGGCCGGAGATGGCTGGGTTTAGGGATCGGGGCCGGAGATGGCTGGGTTTAGGGATCGGGGCCGGAGATGGCTGGGTTTAGGGATCGGGGCCGGAGATGGCTGGGTTTAGGGATATGTAATGTGGGAGGAGTTGGATCTGGATCCTACCATGCCCCCTGGATCTTGTGTTCTGCCCTGAGGACCATCTCAAGGTGGGTCAGACCGCGCCGCCTCACGTGTAACAGCAGCTGCAGACGCATCCATACCGCCATGCAAATTATGCAACACGCACGTCACGACTTCTCTCGACCAATCAGAGCAGACGCACAGGACGCGTAAACACAGACGAACATGGCTAGGCTGAGCGGTCCATGTGAGTCGGCAGACTGTAACCCACAATCTATGGCATAACAACACACGCCTGGCGCTGTTAACCTACTTAGAGCTCTCCTGCTGAAAATAAAGTCATACAAACCCAAACCACGCCTCAATGCACAGTAAACATTCGCGGCATCACGTGCAACTACGCTTCGGTGGCATTTATTAAAATAAGAGTGCACTGAAGATATCACCGCTTATACAGTCATATTCAGAAGTAAATGTAAACCGTGCTGATCTTACCAGCCTGTGTGAAATCCATGTCCTCCGACAGCTCAGAGCCGCAGTCACCTGTGTGTTAGTGCCGTGTTTACTCCGTTTACAGCAACTCTCTAGTGTGTGATCTCTCTCCACCTACACACTACCTGAGGAGCATTTCTAACAAAGACCACATCCACACGACCTCGCGTCTATTGCAGGCTCTCTGAGTCGACTGGACTCGCTGTAGCTCTGAGTTGTGGATAAACGCAGGTTTAACGCAGAGAGCGGGTGAGCGTAGCCTGATAGAGACTGAGCGGAGCTGCAGATCACGTGACCCGCTTCAGGGCGGCTCCGCCCCCAGACCGTTTCAAAGACGTAAACAATGACAAAGGCGTTGGAACGCTACTGCGCATGTCTGGCCCTGAAGCATTTCCGGTAGCGCCATTTTTAAATCTCAGCTCTATCAAAGCAATCGTGTACTTTTTAACTCTAGCGAAATGCGAGATATGGAAGTCAGAATGGCAAGATACAGTATATCATTCAGAATTGCGCACATTTACTGTAAACGCTCATACACATACAGAAGTACTGGTCAAAGTGTGGGCACTATTACTGTTTTTAATGTTTTTGAAAGAATTCTCCTATGCTCATCAAGCCTGCATTTAATTGATCAAAAATAGACAAAAACAGTCATATTTAGAAATAATGGTTTCCTATTTTAACCCATTTAATCCCACCGGTCACAAAAAAAGGTTTTCATTTATAAAGCTTTAAAAAAGCGTACTGATTGATGTTTTAGTGCACTTCCTGCAAATATGGAAAAAATAAATGGTGTCAAATAAATATGTGCAGTGTCACATGGTTAGTGCAAATTGTCACATGACCAGAGCAGTTTATTTCTTGTTTGCACCATGAGATGATGGCTGCATCAAAGCTGCAAAACGAAAGGCTAGTAAAGCATGTTAATAAAGATATGACAAAGACTTTTGGTACACATTATCTTTAGGGTGTCTAGTATTAATATATGAATTCACATATATTCAGTTTTGTTGAGTGTGGTCATAGAACGAGTAAACACTTTTCCCAAATATTTTTTACAAATTAATTCTTGATATTTCAAAGAAATACTAATGACACATTATTTGGATATTTTCATGTCTGAGAAAAATTTGGGATTAAACAGGTTAATCTGCTTTAAAGTGTAGTTTATTCCTGTGATGCACAGCTGTATTTTCAGCATCATTACTGCAGTCTTCAGTGTCACATGATCTTCAGAAATCAGTATAATATGCTGATTTATTATCAGTGCTGGAAACTGTTGTGCTGCTTAATATTTCTGAGATAATTTTATGATTTTTTTTTTAAGAATAAAAAAACCCAGCATTTATTTAAAATAAAAATGTTTTGTAGCAACATGCACTACTGTTCAAAAGTTTGGGGTCAGTTTTTCTTTTTATTATAATATTAATACATTTATTCAGCAATGATGTTAAATTGATTTAAAAAAAAGTGATGATAAACACTGTTAGGAAAGATTTCTATATTTTGAAAATCCCTGCCAGGATTCAATCAATCAATCAATCCTGTATAAAGTATCACAGGTTCCAGAAAAAAAAATATTAAGCAGCACAATTGTTTCCAGCACTGACAATAACCAAGTATCAAATCAGCACATTACAATGATCTCTGAAGGATCATGTGACACTTAGGACTGGAGTAAAGATGCTGAAAATTCAACACTGCATCACAGGAATAAATATCAAGAATATTAAAACAGAAAACTATTATTTTAAATTGTAATAATATTTCACAATATTACTGATTTTGTCTATTTCTGATCAAATGAATGGAGGCTTGATGAGCAGAAGAGACTTCTTTCAAAAACATTAAAAATAGTAATGTGTCCAGACATTTGACCAGTACTGCATATAAACAAGACATCCTCTCGCTTTCAACTGTTTCCAGCTAATGTATTAATATGTGATCAATATCAAAAGCAGCAGGCTGGCCATGAGCAGCTTTACATTGCATTGCATCCTCAGGTTCTCAAACACATCTGGGTGTTCATAGGGTCACATGTGGTTTGGCACTGCAGGACAACCAGCTGTCTTAGGTGTCTTACATTACAGATGATGGCTTTCCTAAAGACAAAAGTAGAAAAATGATTTAATTTAATGCACAGTATTTATAAATAATACTATTATTGTATAATACATCAGTACATGTTGGAATTAACATAATGAGTGATGAAAAATGTTTACCGTTAGCTTTTGTAAACTACTGCAGTTAACCGTTTCACTCTTCAACATTCAAGTTTACAGTAAACATTTCTATAACGTGTTACTCGCTGCATTTATCTGCTGACAAGATAGCTAGACCACTAATGTGAACTCATATTTAACTATAGCTCACATAACGCTTGGCAATAAAACGGAAATAAAAGCTTGGCCTTTTCCACTAAACAAGAATCAAGCCGCTAGGCGCATATGTAAACAAAGACGTCACTTCCTTAAACCGCCAAATATCCGTTGAAATGGTCCATAACCCACTGACACGCGTTCACTGCTCCTGCGGGGCCTCCTGTGCCCCTGTATGGGAAGCCAAACAACCCAAATGCGGGACGAAACAGCGCGGTATTAAAGAAGTTCGTGTTTTTTTTCCTGCACATAACATAATGAAGAGTTATTACATTTATTTTGCTTATTATCTTTCATATTACTACATGTAAACAGTAGTGTTGTGGCCTAATGGTTAGAGAATCGAACTCTTGACCCAAAGGTTGCGGGGATTGTAGGTGGGGGGAGTGAATGTACAGCGCTCTCTCCCACCTTCAATACCACGACTGAGGTGCCCTTGAGCAAGGCACCGAACCCCCAACTGCTCCCCGGGCGCCGCAGCACAAATGGCTGCCCACTGCTCCGGGTGTGTGTTCACGGTGTGTGTGTGTGTGTTCCTGTGTGTGTGCACTTTGGATGGGTTAAATGCAGAGCACTAATTCCTAGTATGGGTCACCATACTTGGCCACATGTCACGTCACTCACTGTTAGCTACTTTGAGGCATGTATAGCCTATATTTCGTAGTCACGTTCACAGCAGAAACTTCCATTATCCTCTTAGAATTCAATTCAAATATTTTAGGGTTTCATTCATCAAGGCATATTTTAAGTACATTTTACATTTAAGGATATTTGTGTAACTGTAGCATATGATTATACTTGGAAAA